TCGCGGAAGATTTTCTTAGGGAAACTGGCTCGTATATACGTTATACATGCGGAAAACCATGAAAACGACCATCCAGCCAGCCCGTTCGCCGGGACTCGATCTACCAGGGTTAAGTGACTTTATCGCTAGGCCGATGGATGGCCTTTTAAAAGTGCAAAGACCCATTTAAGGCAGCATTTCTCAAACTTCATTCAAGGGGGACTACTTTTATATACCGGAATGCTCTGCAGACCACCTTACTCTTATACCCTTCGAAAGCAATTTTTTGGCACATGTTACTTCAGTATACCCTTATTTTGAAAATATATTTAGTGAAAATTTGTTTAGTTTTATATAAGTACTAACTAATTAAATTTATATAAGAAAATTTGCATTCGTTTTTTGATAATTCAAGGTTGTTAGAATTTGGATAATTCTTATCTTATTGAGTAAAATTTAAATTAATATTGGAGTTCACTTTCATGAGATGGAGGAATCTCCCGCTTTTTGCATAGCTATTTTTTGTTTGGATGTATGCTGGTAACAAGCATTGCAGTCGCAGTGCTTTAAATCCTTCTTTTGTTGCTAAGCCTAGAGTGGGGAGATTGAAGCTAGGATAACCAGTAATAAATTTCATAAAATGTCAATCTTGAGAGAAAAAGTGACAGACGATTGTATAATTCCCAAGCTCTAAGAATTTCAGCTATAATTGTGATATGCTGAATTTGGAATTTATTTTTTATCTACTTTAGAAATCTAGAAGGACCATAAGAGCAGGCTAAGAAAACTACAGATTGAGAATTGCTGCCCTAAGGCGTTCAGTTTAAGACTGTATTTTCTACAACAGTTTCAGACTATGATAAAATGCATAACCACTAATGAATTTATTTCGAAAATAAAAATTATAGGTACTTTTATAGCATATCTTGTATATTAACAGTTTTTTGAGTCCAAATAGTAAACATACGAACAATAAAAATCTACAAGATTAAAGTTCTTAATATTTTTCATAAAACTAGTACATTTCATAAATCTAAAATTTATAAAATCTAGTACATTTTTATAAAATTTAAAATTATAACATAACAATTTAAGCACATAGAATTTTGAAAACACGCGAAAAAAGAAGCTTACTCCAATTTATTACATTTTACGTCACATTTCTTCTGATCTTTTCTAGATTTTTATAATACTATGTCGTTAATATTTACTTTAAAGCATGTTGTCTAATTTATTTTTTCTGTTACTTTTTGTATCTTTTTATAAAATTTGTTTCGTGTTCTCATAATTTTGCAACATATAAAAGCATAATATTTTCTTTTGTTTTCTGATTTCCTTCCCCTTTGGGGGAATTTTTTTCCTGCCTTATTTATTTAAATCTTCACATTTCTCGCTTCTTGATCACTAACCGTTTTAATTAACTTGTCATTGCCCAAGAAAAGTACAATATCTTTCTTCTTTTATTAGAAAAATACTTCTTAACATTTTCCATTTATTGAAGATCGTAAATATTTTCTTATTCGCTTCAGCTCTGAAAAGCTGTATTTAACCGAGTTTGTAAACGATGGCACTTTCAGTGCAACTGACATATTTGAAAGATATATATATATATATCTTTCAAATATTTGAAAAGTATATGTTGTATATATATATATATTATAGAGAGAGAGAGAGAGAGAGAGAGAGCTTTCAAATTTGTTTACTTATATGTAATGAAAAACCGTACACAACTTTTGGAAATTTGTGGTAAACTGAAAGACAGAACTTATTTAATGCAATTTCGTCGCCTGATGATACGATCCTTAGAATATCTGCAAGTTTTTTACAATTTGCTTTTCAGATTTTTTTGACAAACTCTTAACGACACAAATAGCAGGGAACAAGTTATAGCAATGATTTATTATGTCTTTCTCTAAAAAATTTAAGGTCGGTGTCTATGTCAAGCTTTAAAAAGCTCATTCATATTAGATTTTGATTCCCTACTTTAAAAAATTTTGCTTTTTTTAAATTTCTACTCCTAGTATAACTAAGCTGTATACTCCTAAAGATCTAACCAATTCAATTGCTTCTTCTATGGCCTTTTATTATATCCTCTAACCTGGAACTCTTGATTGCATTTCTAAGTTTCACTGTAATGTCAAACTGTATATCTTCCTATTAAATCCCGTGTTCCTTTTATTGACTTTAATAACAATAGTATTTCAGATCATAAGGCATAAAAGAAATTTAAATGCTGTAATTTGTTTTAACAAACTTTATGTCTCACTAAAATGAACAGAGTTTTCTTTTTATATCTTTTAAGCTCTTTTAAGGCATAAATGGTATTCTTAAGTTCTTACTAAATAGTTCAGTATTTTTAGTTCTTGCTTCCCATCTTGTTTCACACAATGATTTCAGCGTCAAATGCACATAACTAGTCAGAATTTTTCAGTGCTTCCTGGATGCAGAAAATAAAGTAAACAAGCTTTGTCTCACCATGCCATTTTTATTTCATCACAGCAACAATTATACAAAACATTTATTGTAACTGTTAAAGATTTTTAACTACATTATTAACAACAAAGTTCCTTCTAAGATCACAGCAAGCTGTGTAGCGAGCTCTTCGGTTTCCTAAACATGTGCTTGTGTCCCACTTTTTTAACCTTACATGTTTTTTTTCCGTTATCGTTTATCTTTCCACGCCAATCTACAAAAGATTTTCCAAGATCAGGTAATATATAAAGCAATAATTGAGTAAGACTATTTTCCAAATTGTGTGATATCTCCCTATTCTCTATAACAGAAATAATTTAATCAAAAGGCTCTGTAATTATTTCATTCTGAATGGTCCTTGCTACATTACCGGTCTTTTAGGTTTTTCTACTCGTTGAACATATTCACTCAACAAGGGTCACATTATACAATTAACTCAACATATCATAGAAAGCTCCCATTTACTGGGTTTTCTAACATCTCTTGATCGCCCTTAAGAAATTTCTTCCCGGTGAAAGCATAATGATATAAAACAATCTTTCTAAAATTAATTTCCATCTTGTCCCTTCCTTTTCAATTTGATCTTATGTTACTTGATCCATTAACTTTGAGCTTTGAACCTTACCATTTGCAGGTGATTTCGAGATAGTTCGTGATTGCGGAGAAGCTAAAGTGTTATTTTTTAAATCACAATATAGGCAAATTTGAAGTAAACTATTTATAACAAGAGCAATACACAACATCCCTTTATGTGAGCATGTAAGGCAATAATGCTTGACCTTTTTCACTATTTGAAAGCCTACCAGTGATAAACTCTAAAACATTTTGTTTCTTTGTACATAGGAAATAAAGAATTCTCCTCAACAAATATCAGTGAGATATTTCTTAAATGAACTGTTTGTAAACTTAATGTGCATAATTAATGTCCGCGTTTCTCGATTTTTTGAGTCGAGTACACACTGAAAAAAAAAATGTTTTTTTTTCCCGATTTTTCTTCTCCTTTCTGGAACTGGAAACAAACCGGCATGTTTATCACTTCCAAAAAAATCTGAAGATGCTTGCATAATCTCCTCTGTTTTCTCCCTGTTTAAATTTTCATTTAACAATCACCAATAACTCATGCTATACATAAAAGCTTTATGACACTATCTTTAATTCACGTTTTTTTCTTTAAAAATGATGAATTTTTACCGGATTGGGTTTGTGAAAATTTTATCACTATAGTTGCTTGCTTTATTTCCTGTATTATTGCATTCTTAACACCCAGTCACACGACCATCTTGCATTTTCTTTAAAAGTGCACTTAATTTACCTTAAGTAATTTTTTCAAGAAAATGCAAATGCAAGAAGAAAAATACTATCTTACATTTTCTGTTTACTCTTTGACTAATATTTACGCGTAATTTGCGTTCAACAAAGACATTACGCAGACAGAAATTACTTGGGATAAAATTTCACTCAATAAATACATTTGTATATTCGCATAAATAATAATTTGGGGTGGGTACTCTCCGGAATACAGTTCTTTCACTGAAGTAATGTCTAAAGCAGAAACATCTGCAGGTAGATACATAATAGGCTAGTAATATGTTTGTTAAATCTATTTGTGGAAAAGATTTAGAAATTCAATATTTGACTTTAATCTTGTCTGACGATCCCGGTTGTAAGCATATCGTCTGCCAGATAATGTAATTCCATCATTTCTAATAATGATATTTGAAAAATTAAACATTAAAATGCGAACATTATCAAAAAATAACAGGACAGAAAAAGAAGCTTACGAACAGAATCTGACTTCTAAATTTCTGTTTGAAAAGATAACAGTGAAAACGTCAGTCCTGTAATGACCAGGTCGAAAGAAACAGTGTTTACTGCATATTTCGAAAAACTTAAAAATTGCAGCAATCCCAGATCCTCTCCCGCGCTTCCAAAGAAAAGCAAAGGCGAGAGAGCATTAGTGCATTCTAGACAAAGCAGTTTCTTTTAGACGAAAGGTTTTAGGACACCAAGTAAAAGGATATATTGAAAAATTATAAACTGAGAAAACGCAGTTTAAAGAATGTAAACTGCCTAAATCGTCATTAAATCAATTCAAATTTCTTAAAAAATTTTATTACTGAATTTCAATATATATATATAAAATAAAACTTAGTACTGCTCAATTGATTAATATGAACATAAATTACAAGCTTTGTTTTAAAGCCTATCTGGCTAGAAATATCGCAAAAAAATCCTAAATGCAAGTAGAATTTTTCTTTACCTGTTTTTGTTTTTTTAAAACACCTCAAAACAATTTTAATACGATAATTAATTATAATATATTTTATAAAATATTTATAATCAGTATTAAAACATACATTTGTCGTTTGTTTCATTGTTTTAAAAAGCAAAATAGGAAATTTGAGCAGGCATAAAAGATTTTATTTAAAACCCCTCAGCAGCCTATGTGATTCCCTCCCATTTTTTAGCCCATCGGTCTCATACATAAATTTGATTTTAATTAATTTAAGAGTATTTTAATTAATTAAAAAGTTTAATGCTTGTTCCAGCACAATTATCAATAATGCTAGAATCAGGAACTTTCTTACCACCTCTTTCTGTTCGTGTCTTAGTATAAATAAATGCAATTTTTAAAGAAGCATTGCAAACTTGACTAAAAATACCCATAGAAATATTTGCTGACTCAATATTATATATATATATATAAATCAAAATAAAGTAATATATATAGATAAACTTGCCAGTTCAAAGGTGAAAAAATTTTTTCCCAACTTCACTTTGTATTTAAATAAATCAGTTTATACACATAAACAGAGTTTGTTGATAATTGGAGTCATATTTAATTACATTCCTTTTCATTTACGCTGATTTTTAGTAAGTTACTGAAAACATTAAGAAGTAAAAAAAAATAAACACTGAGGGGGTTGGCATTTAAAGTGCTGTCAAAATTTTTAAAAACTTTTTTATACCATTTATTATCATCAGATCATTTGAAAATTTTTCTTCAGTGTATATTAAGGTGTTTTTCCAGCAAAAATTGAAATATCTCTAATTTCATCGATTTTGGGGTACGTAGGAAAAAGATTAGAGAATGATGAAAATCATCAGGTTTTTGTTTGGAATCTTAATGAATGAAAATTTAATAGACTTTTCGACTGTTTTTCGTGAGGGCAAGACCATTTTTTGGTTTTGGGTGATCTCATCATTTACGTTTTGCTTGTCACTGGCAATTATGGCTCAACAAAAACGCCTTTTGAATGTCGATGGCCGTAATACTTGCAGCAATACATAAGCATCTGAGCTTAACCCTTTCCGGCACGCTACCTTATAAAGTTAGAGTTTTCATTAAAAAAAGAAAAATTAAAAAAAATAAGGTAGGCAATCTAATTAGGCCTAAAGGAGTACGCAAGTAAAATTTTGTGAAGATAGCACTTATCGATTAATTCTGTGGGCGGGCCCAAAGTGGGCACACACTGGTTGAATAGAGCTTCGAAAAGAGTGCTGAAACGAGCATTGTTGTGAATGAACTGACCGATGAGATGCGCAGAAACAAAGAATACATACTCTCAGTTGTCCTAGTTGTCGGTGAGCGCGCGGTCTGGGCATACCTAGGGTTTCTCCGTTTGATTTTAGGCAAGATTTCAAGGTAAAAATTTAAAACTAATATTAAGGAGATTAGCATACAGCCAAAAAATAACATAGAAATTTCTTTTCAAACAATTCCTTTTATACCCTAAAAAAAGTCTGGAAGATTTCTTTGAAAAATGAGGTTCTTAAAAAAACTAAACATGGCTAAAATATATGGACTGGTTTGTGTTGAGCTGCCATCTACTATAAATAAAGAAGGGTCAGAGTGACCTATAGTAACCTATTAATCATTTTTCATTCAATTTTTCTGTGCGTACAGAAGGAAATTTTTAGGTGTGTCCACACCGGACACACTGTGCCCCAGAGGATTAAAGGACGGGAAATTATGCAGTGCTTTTCAATATTTTCTTCTGAGGGTACTATCGACGGAACTGTTTTGGGAAGTTCTTGCTTGGATGAAATTACGAAGCTCCGGAATTCGTCAGCCGAGCTGTTTTTCCCGAGAAAGAAAAGTTTTCTTCCGGTGGGTCCTGTGGCTTTATCTAGCCCTTTAGGGTTGTGAACTATGCCTATCTTACATTTATCAACGTGTGCGGTTAAGAACCACGAGCGTGTTCAACTCATCCCTGGTGTACGGTTCCCGATATCCAGTCTTCCCAAACATCTGAACTGAGGTCTCGTCAAGAGCTTACCGAGCCTGCTGATTTCGTCTAAGCATGTTCCTAAATTCTTCAGTGGCAGAGGTCTTGGTGTCTCCATTTTTCTACTCCTAGTATATATTACTTGTCTATTGGAAGGTGTCTATTTTTCTGTCAAGCTTCTGTTTACCGATGGCGAGAAATATCTTCAAGGATAAGTTTTTTTTTTCCCCTTATCTTTATTTTCCTGTTTATATTTCCATCCGTTTAACGGATGGAATTTCGGTGGACTGTAATTAAGTAATTAACTTTGCATGTTTTCTTGATTTTGAATTAATATAATCACAATTACTGAGGGGTTAATTGATAATATTACTATGTTAAGAAAATGCCTCTTTTGCTTATCTGGCTGAGGAAAAAATTGTCTTCTTGAATTAATGATTAATAATGGTTTTTTTTTCTTCTCTGTAACTGACTTAATGTGTAAAAAAAATGAAACTGTGTACTCCAGTAGTTCTACTAGTGAACTTGGTACATAATATTTGAAAAAAAAATAAAGAATGTTAAATTGTGTACCCAATCTGTTCTCATTAAATGATTACTTAATCAAAAATTCCCATGTAAAAAAATAGTATAATAAATCTATAAACGTTTAAATAAAAATGGATACTAAGAAGCTTAAATTAATCAGTCGATTATTTGTTTTACTTTAGTATTATTTTATTAATGGTCTCTTGAATAGTCATTCAACTGGCACGAACCCGGCAAACCCAAACACAACTCAAACAACACTATATTCGGTTTTACTTATGATTAAATTGAATTTAATAAATTATTTGAGTCATAATTTACAATCTCATTTATTATTTGGAGAAATTATTGAATTGGTTTTGAATAATACATATTATTGATACTTTGAATTCGGTATATAACAAAATTATACTGCCGTGCAAGCGGTACATTACAAATGGTACCATGACCAGTCCTCGACATTACAAATGGTGCCGTTCATAGTTCACTATATTACGTTAGTACCGCGAAAGAGGGTACTTAACAGCACTTACATAATTGCGAATTTACGTACAATCGAGGATTGCTGTATTATAATTTTAAATACATTTTAACAATATACATTTATAAAATTTTGCTTATAGTTCTTGTTTTCAAACTTTAATAAGTAAAAGAGCCAGAATCAAAAATGAAAATTTGTATATCATATATTTGTTGCTGCAGTTTTTGGAGGAATCTAAGTACTTATAAGAGTTCTAATTGCATATATGTATGCATTATCTATCTATTATAAAAATGTGTTATAAAATTATACTTTTATTTCACAGGTATCTGCAATTAAATGGCAAACATCAATTGGCTGTGAAGTTGCAGGATTCCTGGGTGTCTTAAGTAGTGAATTATCAGTGTTCACACTTTCAGTAATTACCTTAGAGAGGAATTATGCAATTACTCATGCAATGCACCTGAATAAGAGACTCTCATTACGTCATGCAGGTTATATAATGTTCGCTGGATGGACATTTGCAAGCGCAATGGCTGCAATGCCTCTTTTCGGAGTCAGTGATTATAAAAAATTCGCCATTTGTCTGCCATTTGAAACTGAAGATGTTTATTCTCTAAGTTACGTCATCTTTCTAATTCTAATAAATGGAGTGGCATTTCTTATACTAATGGGCTGCTATTTGAAAATGTATTGTGCAATAAGAGGTTCTCAAGCATGGAATTCCAACGATTCTAGAATTGCCAGACGAATGGCATTACTTGTATTTACAGATTTCATTTGCTGGGCTCCAATAGCCTTCTTCTCGCTAACAGCTGTGTGTGGACTGCAACTGATATCATTAGAAGTATGTACTTTAATTTGTCTCACAGTTTTCAAACTCCTGTATATAAATATTTCAGTTACTGAATTCAAACATTTTCCGAAAATAGTTGCATGTACCTACATTTCTTTCTATTTGCAAATAATATTCTGTGTTAAATAACTTAATAAAATAGCACATTCTCTAACCTTTATTTAAATACGCTTTATTATGCTAAATATGAACATTCAACATCTATTGCAGTTTAACTTCTACACGGAGTAGTGTCTTCTGCTTCCATGAGTGACACTTTTATAGCACTATGAAATGATTCTGTGTTTCGATAGCTGATATTTGAATTTTTCTTTTTTTTTCCTGTAAGGTACACGCATACTGTGCCCGTGTAATTAATATGCGTGTGATATGCTGTGAAGTTAAATTGGCAATTGTACAGGGGTGTGAAAAATTAGCTGAAATTCCTGTAAATTATTAAGTTAGAAATACGGAAGCACCAAATCTTTAGCAGTAAAGACTTAATGTTTTATTAATATTATGTTAATGATTGGTTCGTAATATTTTTTATGTTCTAAAATGCTAGATTTTTCCAACTTTAAGACACGGAAGAGATTGTTGACAATGTGTGTTACTGAAGAACAGGAGAAATTTTTCTTGAAGAATTGTACAAGAAGTTAATTAATCATGATTTATTACTTTTATTTCCCACAGTCTACAGGTTCTAATTAAAACAAGTATTACCCTAACATCTTAAAGACCTGAGTAACAATACAAGGTATTCTGATAACTTTCTGTTCCCACTTTGGAGGTTTACGTACAGGAGCTGAACACAGTGATACTACAACTTATCTTAGCTGTATAGTTGGCCTTATTTTAACTGCAAGAAACAACCTGTGCACTTTAATAGAAAGCGTGGAGAAAATTGAGTATGTTAAGTTTACATAATAGACATAAATAGGCAGCTTAAGTCACCACGACTTTTGTCATCGCCACGTCTTGTTAAATGTTATATGACACGTAGAGGAGGTATTTTTAACGCGAACGATGAAATATATATATACCTGTCAATTAGAAATTAATTATGGGTGTAATGTGCTCAGTAAATCTAGAAACGTTTGTTCTCCATATAAATGCGTCTAGTGAAACACGATCAAAGGCTATATTGCTGTCTAGGAAGATTATATCAGAGTAGTTTGCCTTTCGCAGTTCTTCAGTTAAAAGCTCAACAGCTATATAAAACTGATACTCGATCGAGTGTTTCTTGCGGAATCGGAGCTGACGCGGCATGATAATTTCTTCATTTCAAGCATTGTTAGTAGCATTAGTGGCACCATTGGCATTAGCACCCACTAGTAGAAGCTGAGGAAATCTAGTAAGGCTCTGTGATTCCAAGTAGCAGAAGGGGACGTTGAGAAAGAAAGAGCAATATGAGCACGCTTGAGAAACTTGACTAAACCCTTTTGAAACGAATATTCAAGTATTGTCTTGATCATAGATATAAATATTAAATCACATATCTTCATAAAACTCTTACCCAATAATGGCAGTCGACTCTGCACAGATGTTGATACAACTTGCATATAGAAATAGAGTCAGTTTTCCTTTCCAGGTCGTTGAAGTTACAAGCTGTCAGTCTAATATTCTAAAAACATGATTACAAGGTCACCGTTCAACATCCAGTGTATGCCAGTTGCATATTTCTTTTCATTACAAAGTATTCCACTGCGCACGATATGGTAGGAATTTTTGCATGTTTTACAAAATTCTTTAATACAAATGCTTTCAGAAAGCTTTTATCGTTATCATTATGGTTTCATATTGTTTGAGGCTTTTTAAAAATTCTGATGTTATCCGATTTCAATGAGTATTGCAGAAATATCTGTTCAGGTACCATACATAATTCAGATGGCATTTAATTTATCATTGTTGCAAGGGTAAGGGACACTGAATAAACTCATTGATGTTGAGGGGAGACTCTAAAAATGCGGGTGGTGAATCAAAAAGAAAGGGTTGAGAAACTATACTGTTGAGAAATTAAACTTGACATTCCAAGCAATATTGCTCGAACGAGGAAGTAAATTTATCGGGCTATGAAGCCGCATCATCTGCAGGCGTTTTTTTCCCTTTGTTTTTTCCCTTTCCTTTATTGGAGATAATACAATTGTTTTTAAGTACTTGGGGAACAGCAGAATAAAAGCATACTGATAATGATTTTATTAGGTTAAAATCATATATCTTGATATGGCTTTGATCTTTTTGTTAATCTTGTTTGAAAGTATATTAATATATATATATATATATAATTACGCTGGTAAAGATATTAAAATTGACCGATTCATTTTAAACAGGTTTTTAAACCATTATCCCAGGGATAAATAAAAAGGGCTAGCTCATTTCTTGTTCGACTCCTCGCCGACGCGAGCTAATAGGGAAATTAACAGGCGTAATCTGACGTCACTGGATGCCACCTGTTCTGATTTCCCCCGCGTTTAAAACTGTAGTTTCATTCACTGCGAGACGATTTTTCTAGAGGTTACATATTCCAAATTAATTTTAATCATATATATATCTGTTTTCTAATATGTTATATTTAAAATAATTATATATATGTAATTTTAGTCAGTTTTTATTTTAAATTCTATATTGAAAAGTACCGTTTTACGTAATCTGGCTTTTTGCGCTGTAGTAACTTGCCGTAGCACTTACAGAAGTACAAAAGGATGAGATATTTTTTTCATGGACCAAAGGATCCAATGAGATTTGCTTTTGACGAAAGAATGGATACACAAATGTCAAAGACAAATTCTATTAATGCGAAGAATGGAAAAATCTGCAGCGACATTTTCTATCTATGCAGTTATGAAGATGATATGAAAAATCGCTTGTTTGGATAGCCACAAAAAGAACTTTTGAAATGGAATGCTGTGCCGAAAGTAAATTATGATTACAATAATAAATCGAATTGATGAAATGTTAATTTTAATATTGAAACAAAACTCGCAAATGAAAATGTAGATATTTCTGAATGTCCTAAGTTTAAGGATAAACAAGAATGCATTGATAATTTGAAAAACAAAATAATATCCTTAAGAAATTGTATTAAAGTATTGGAAAAGAAAAATTTTAGAATGTTTGTTCAGTGACAAAGAAGGTGAACGACATCTAAAAAGAAATTGGTATCAGAAATTAAAATCTCAAATAGCGAAATTTGGGGGGGGGGGGGGGAAGCATAAATCAGAGAATTTGGAAAAACGTCTAAAGCCTTTTTTCTTATATAAAGACGCAGATTAATGCATTGTTGACTGAAAAGAAGGAAAAAATCAAGTGGACTAGTGAAGATATTTCACATTGCATTGGTCATAAGACCTCTGTCATCTTAAAGCGAGATTTTGGAAAGAAAAGAAATTAAGAAAAAACGGAATATCTTTACCTAGTATTAGCAAATTAAAGAAATGGTGCGCTAAATTTAGTGTAGTCAAAATTCAAGTGATGTTCTACTCTAAAGAAGGAAAGAGGCGAATATTTGTATCTGTAGAAAAAATATGCGTTCTCAGTTTCGACGAAATGCATAGAGATTGAATCTCTGCTATGACTCTACTGGACCAAGTTCTCGTTCTTTTCAAAATGTGCGTTTGTTTTAATCAGAGTCTCATTTCGCGCTCTGCCTCAATTACTGAGAAAACCACGTTTTAGATAAAGGATTTGTTTTGAAGATGGAACTGTTTTAATTTTGTTATTATTAAAGAGGTTTTAAATAGCGATTGAGAAGAAATCAAATTATGTCACAAACTAAAACCGAATATTTAATGGTCAAGGGAAACGAGAGACAAAAAGTCACTCCAGAGAAACATTATTTTTCAAAGTCGCAAAGGTATACTCCACCCCACAGGAAATCAAAAAGCATCTGACTCTATGAGTTAATCGATAATTCTTCGTATTATGAATATTCCAACAAGAAAAAGTATTTACAAACTAATTTTGTTAAGTACTTGTTAAAGTTTCTTATTGTATCCTTTGTAACTAATTATTGATTAGATTTTGTGCTAGATTACATTCTAGATAATATAATAGTATAAAACATTAAAGTAATTGGCAATAAAAGACTGCTTCTTTACTCACACTTTTGAAAAATTAAATAACTGTATTAGGTACTCTGAGTAAAGCTATTTTGTCAAATTAAGGTAACAATCTTACATACATTTATTTAATCGTAATATAGATATAAGTATAAATTACAAAATTATTTAAAAATTATTATATTGAATCGGAAGAGAATTATAACAATGTAAATTTACAATTAGGCAAAATCAACGTAGGTTAGCAGAAATGTTGCCATATATGTCATTGTAAAAATTTTTTATCAACTTGTACTATTAAATTTTTTTGATCATTAAATAGATAAGTGAAATTTCACTTACCTTCTAAATAGGGCTGCCCTGAACTGCCTGCTTTTCCTTCTTGTAGGTATCCGTCCTCTATGATGAACTTCGATTCACTTCGAAACACAGCTATAAACTTTTTAAGAAAATTTAATTCGTATGAAAGATATCACAAAATAATTTACAAGTTATAATGATTAAAGCTAATTTATACGGAGACGGTCTATCTTTATACATCTGTTAGACGCGTCAGCCGTTCACTGACTACTTTTAGTCTCTTTCGCCAGAGGGCGTTCGTGGAAGTAAGTTCTAGTAGCAAACGCGACACTCCCCACCTTGAGGTCCAGTATCAACAGAGGATGGACCTCAACTGACCTGTAGTTCAAGTCTTTTGAGTTTTCGTCATACGTCGAGTTCAATACCTCACTAGCATATCCGACTCAGGTGTAAAGTTGAGTTCAAGAGGTATGAGGTTCTTAGTAGGTCTTATAATCTCACCTTGTGCAGTTTTCAGTTTCACTAATCTAATGTGTCCGTCGTGGGATGGAAAAATTTCCACGATTCTAGCTAAGGGCCAGTTTATCCTTTTTCCGTTGTTGGACACAATTACAAGATCCCAATTTCCCTAGAAGATGGTTCGCGGATGAATTT